ACGATACTGTATCTTCTCTTTCTATCATTATAAATGATACAGCGAATCAATTTAGAAAATTGTATATAATGTGGTTTCAAAGTTCCAAGACATTTCGAAAAATTGAGGTTCTATTCCAGGTCTATTCACTAATATTCGTTCAACAGCCTATAAAATGTGTCAAGCAAGTATAGATTTTTCCTGCACGAGGTCGTTTATTCTCATTTCAAAATTATCAATTTGGTTCACACGGGACCCATTCTTCAGATGCATTGTTATACGACGCTATACATAGTGGAGTATACTACGGCCTTGCCAAAAATGCTATCTCGGAAACTAAGCGAGATAGAGGTATAGTTACTTTGGAGAAAATGATCCCCATCGAATTTTGAGCAACTTTGGTTTTTGAGTGTGGTCTGTTTGTCTGTCTGTCTGTACTCTGTGGTAATCATAAATCGCCATATCTCCGGAACCCTTTGACATATCGACTTGAAATTTTGCCATCTTATTGTACTCAAAACAATATTATGTCATTAAAATATGAAGGAAATCGGAAAACTCTAAGGTGGTTTTTCCGGGTTTTTTCGATTTTTCACCGGAAGATTCTTGTGACCATATTCTACAAATCACAAAAGTGGTCCGATCGATTTTATTTTTAGTGAAAAAAAACTCTATCAGGGAGAGACGAAGCCTATTGAAATTGAGCAGGGTCGGAAAATTCCAAGTGGGTTTTTCAAGATTTTCCGGAACACACGGTTCGCTTTAAAACGACATATCTCCTGAACCAATAGACTAAATCCAAATTTGAAAAATGCACCGTATGCCTCTTTGATGACGCAACAAATTATTATATTACCATTTTTTCGTGCATCCATCGGAAAATGGAAAAACAAATGAAAATCAAAACATCAAAATTTGAAATCCTTTCAATTCAATATATATCGAAAACAAATGGAAAAATCGAAAATTATCAGAAGTGCAAAGTTATCTACTGGAACATTTCCTACAAATTATTACTCATAATTTTTTCTGTAAACCCAATAGTACAGGAAATAAAGTAAAAAATATGAAAAAAAAATTTGAACGACTCATAGGGTACCATGAAGATATATTGAAAAACAAAGATTATCGATAGATGAAGCTCATCGACTCCCACTGAACCATGAAATACTTCTTCCTTTTGTTGATTGGAAGATGGAACAAAAGTACCGAAAATTTCATTCTCAGAAAATATCTGGAAATGTTATAGAACCAAAATTATTCCTTTTGATAGAATCTACAAAAAATCCGTGTAACATTTTTCTCTGAATTCGATAGTTCGGGAGATACGATGAAAAAACTAAAAAATTTACAAGTTCCTAGATAATCACTTGCCAATAGAAAACAAAACGAAAAACAAAAGAAAGTAAAAAAGCACACTCGACTGTCTTGATTTCCCACAAAGAAGAAATATGTTGGCATTGTTTGAACTTTCTTCTGTTTTTGTTTTTTTAGTCACTATTCGCAGTCGAGTGAGCTAGGTTCGTAGTTTGTGGGGAAAAACCAAGACAGTCACACAATCATCTTTGGTGCCCAATGATAGTTTCAATATAAAAATATGCTCATGATATGGTGCCATGGCCTCTACTTCCATCTTACATGAGCAATGATAAAATATCATCTGCTTTTATAGCGTCGTATAAATTATCTGACCTCTATACTAATACTAATGAAAACTACATCTATACTAATCTGATACCTTTCGAAAACTACGTAGCTCATTTGTTATTCAACACTAAAGTGGTGTACTATTCAATCATTTGGTGATTATTTTGACACTGTTACTGTTGCGTTTTTGCTTTTACTGCTAATATATGATATGCAATTACTTTTCGGATAAGTTTCCTGTTGTGAGAACACACTTATTGAGTATTTTCGTTGATTGATATATTACGTAAGCGTAATATATCAATCAACGGTATTTTCAAGCTGAGAAGCAGGTGTTTTCTTATCTACATCAGGGTGTTGAATGACACGACTCTGATATACTAACATTAGTATTCAGTGCATGAAATGATCCACTAAATTTACAAAACATCTCTGAGCTATTTGAAGGCTGTCGAGAGACTAGCGTCGAAGGAGCGCTAGTGTCGCCATCTATCGAGATATTTACTCAATATTTTTCTGCGAACAAAATTTATACTTTCATATTCAATTTCATGTTTCAATCTGGTTCGATATAAGTACTCTATAGCTTCGCAATCTCGAAATCATCATATGCAATTGAGTGAATCAAGTTAAAATTCATTTATTGCATTATTTTCACGGAATCATCCGTTCCAATTGTCACTTATCAATCTTGATACCAGAATCCCTGTACATAAATTCAGAAAAATCTAACAAACGGTTACCGAGATATTCGCTTGGTTCCATACTTCATCCCATCAACCCTGTAAATATACTTGTACTTACATATATATTATTTTTTATTTGTTTTCGATGTTTGTTTGCTCGTTAGTTAGTCATAGTTTTCTATACTGTAGCATTTGGAATGTCTATCGAATTCTGTAGTGTACTTAGTAAATAAATAAATATGAAAATATTTTTATAGAAAGTCTGAGAGAAGATAGCTGAAAATATGGCTAGAACTATCCATATAATGGCTGAGTTGGCAGCACCGCTACTCTGTGGATATTCTAGCGAACCCCCACCCCCCTTTAAAAAAAAACGAGGTACTTTCCCATGACGTAATCGATATTAATTGAGTTAATCAAGAATGCGGTGCAGGCAGGCGTACCAACCCATCGGATCAACCGAGCCACCGAACGACCGATGCGTCGACAGCGTCGTATTGAATTACGGCGCGGAAGCCGTACAATTATTATTATTCGATATCCCGGCGTGATGAGCTCGAAACGAGGGGATCTGGATGGAAATGATGATGTTTTGCTTCAGACTGGCATAACGTCGTTTTCGGCTAATCCGTCTATGCCAGTGGCTCTCAACATATTGCATGTGAAACGTTAATTTAATCAAGTTCAAAGCTGTAGTATTTCTTTTACGAAGAATTGATTACTGACCTCGCATCACACATCACATAACAAAGATCTGGCATTTCTGGCAACAAGGCTTCATTACAACAGAATAAATAATAACAATGTTTAAATATTCTTTAGCATCTCAAATTCAATATGTTCACAATGACTTTGAATATCAGTCTATGTTAGCTGTCAGCATAGACATATAAAAAGAGGAGGACGTTTCATAAAACACTATTTGTTCAAAATCATACATACTTCCAAAGTTTAGCATTGCAGCATCATTAGAATTTTTCGAGTTTGTGTTTCCTGTTGGGAACAAAATGCAATAGGGGGTTAACTAACACCGTTTTTATCAAACTTCGTCTTAAAACTTAGCATGGTAAGCAAGGTTGCCTTCTGGTTACCAGTCGGGCATCAGGCTCCAGTATTATTAATGTGTACCTATAATGGTACATCTAAGAAGAAGCCCATATGACGATGGTGCCCTCTAAGACGTTTGTTGTTGAAAAGATGAGGAGGTCATCGTGTACCTACACCAAATTTCCTATGGGAGAAAAACTACCCAAACTACCCAGAACTTCTCCAAACTTCCGCAAATTACCTTGGACTGCCTAAAAACCTCCTGAAGCTTTCCTTTTTCCCTAAAATATCTCCGACTTCCTCGAACTTTCCAAACTTTCTTGTTCTTCCTCGGACTTCTTCGAACTTCCTCGAAGCCTTATTTGAAGCATACCTCTGTCAGCAGTTTCTTCTTTCCTTCAAGCGTGCGAAAAAAGATCATTTCACGGTTTTTCCTTATTTCCCGCACGACTTCATCGGGGGTAATACCACGAGAAGCACATATCCAGCCGGATATTTATTGTAGTAGTTTTCGAATACTTACTTTCATTGGCCATTCAACGACAGCTGTTCTGAAAAATCACGAGAGCGTACATTGTTTTCACCACATATCTTTTCCCATTATGCTCCTTCATATTGAAACCCAAGTTCATCAATATTCCAGCCACATTCTTTACTGATTGTTCGGTTTGTTATTTACAACATTCGTTAAATTGGTTCCAAATGGGGAAATTATACTTCATTTCGTGATTTGAATTTTCAATCTCCTTTATTATTACTGCATCGCAATTATTTAAAAAGAGAGGGAGAAACCGAGGGTAGATGCCCGAAATCATCAATAATAACTCGGTTGATTCAAGGGGTGTTTCAAACTGTCTTCACATTACCACGGATAAAAACTCGTGCACTAATTTTCTCATGAAGCAAGACTGCCCAAACTTCTTGAACCTCAGAATTCCCCAAACCTCCTTGAATTTTCCCAAACTTTCCCTATCTTCCTCAACGAACAACGTAATACCTATATCATTATATATTCAATTTTGTCATGAAGATGTTGACATAGTTAGCGAGAGACGTATTGAAAAAATAAGTTTGGTTAATGGTAAACAGTGTGGGAAATTTCTACCTCGATACGAATTGAAAGGAGGAAGGAAAGCTCAAAGTCTTCTCCACAACAAGTTGATTGACTACATCATTATTAAAGTTGTAGAGATGACTCCGAGCTTTCCTTCCTTCTTTTAAAAATTCCACTCCACTGAGCAAACATGGACTTCTACCAGAGATCGATACGAATTGCGAACTATACTTATATATTCCCAACATTGATCTTTGATGAACATCTGGCTAGGAGGGTAATACCTTAATTAAAGTTATTCTCTGTGGAAGCCTACTCTTCTAGCTCATTTCTCATAAGCAGTTATTCTCGAGCTTCCTCAGTGAACAGTGGGTCTCCATCTTGATCTTGTCATCCCGCGGTATAACAGTTCGCATATTTCCGTAATGATAGCACTTAATTTGCTTTAAATTTTTTCTACTTTATACGATTCAACACCTATGTGTTCTGCTCTGCCACAACAATCAAAAATCTTCACAAAAAAATACTGCGATTCGCCAAAACAGTATAGTGTTTACACCAAAAACACAGCCCAATGAAAAACATACCTGTCTTTGTGTTCGGCCGCCCTGTCCCGCTGCCTCCTGTTCTTGAACCAGTTGGACACCTGGGTGGTGGTCAGCCCCGTCGCCTCGGCCAACTCGCGCTTCTCCCTCGGACTGGGGTAAGGGTTGTGCGCATACCAGTCGCGCAGCACGCTGCGCGACTTCTCCTTGAAGCAGTAGCTGGTCTCCTCGCCGTCCCAGATGGTGCGCGGCAGCGGGAATTTCCGGCGGACGCGGTATTTGCCAACCGCCCCCAGAGGCCTACCTAGGAAAAAGAAAATGGTTGTTAATACACTCACTGGCACAAAAAACGGGCAGGGAGAAATGTAGACACAATGATCACCATGTAAATTAGATTAGATTAGTTTAAGAATGGAGCCTTCGGGCTATCTGCCTCCACACCACGACCTATTCAGATATGGTGTGTCTGCCTCAAAATCGTTTAGAGTTCTTTGGCTAGCCCTGCCTACCCTATGAGACCTCATTGGCTAGCTTTCAGATCCCCTATATAACTCTGGGATCTTCCTCGCCCAGCGTAAGGAACCTTAGTCTTGACAAACCCTCACAGTGGCAAAGTATGTGTACTGCTGTTTCCTTTACTTATTCCTAACAGAAGTTGCACAGCAGTTCTTCAGCCAGACCCATCGTACTCATGTGTTTGTTGAGCCTATAATGCCCTGTGAGAAGTCCCACTTGTATTCTAGTTGTACTTCGTTTCTGGCTCAGATATTCTGTGAATGTTGGCGATGGTCTTTCATTAAACTCCTCAGCCTGTCTCGTTCCTGAGGGGGTTGTTTCCCCATTCTTGAGATTTGGTTTGCATCCATGATTTGGTACTTGTCTTTCATATAGCTTTCGCAATACCACAAGAGGGTTCTGGGCCACTCAGAGCTTTGTTTGCTTCTACTTGGGCAAGTGAATCTGCCTCTTCATTGCCCTCGTACCCTGTATGTGCTGGTACTCATGCTAGCGTCAGTCTATTCTGACTGCCCAGTTTATTCAGGATTTCTAAGCAGTCTTAGACTAGTTTTTAGCTAACTTGCATTGAGTTGACTCTTTTGATTGCCACCTGGCTATCCCAGTAGGTTTTCCCTTTAAACTATTCCCTTATAATTTTTTATGCAATAATTTTTGCCTGAAGCACCGTCGCGTATTCACCTAAGTTGTGGGAAAATCTTGTCTCTAGCTCGGCCCCATAAATACTAGCTCCTGACCCTTCCTCAGTTTTGGAACCGTGTAACTTCATTTATTATTTTTATAATTTTATTTATTTCATTTAATTTCGACCAAATCGTATTATTACTTATGTTTCGAAATGCTACGTTAGGTTAGGTTAGGTTACAAGTGAGTGGGTCTATTCAGCTCTCCACTGAGACCCGTAAGGAACTATTGTGGCTCATACCAATTCATACTTCATCAAGTTGATCCAGCTTCTTAATAAAGCCTATTAGTTTACTTAGTTTACTTAGTGAGTGATATTTCAGTTCCGAGGGCGAGAGTGGAGCCCTGGCAAACAGCAAGAACCTGATTCGAGTCGCGGCGGCGCAGGCACAAAATACATGCTCTGCTGTTTCATCATCTTCAAGACAGACTTTGGATGATCCAGCAGCCCAAGTAAAGTGCCACTTTTTTCCCCCAAATCTGGATCACTATAGTTACTGAGGTAGTTGGTATGGTAACAATCAGCCCCTTTGATGACGTTTCAGAAATAGAGTACCTACCGTTTAGTGGCATTCGATTCATTTTCGTTATTTTAAACGTTTTACCTATCCTTATATATATAGTATATACAACTCAGGACTAAAGTGTTTTTAAATCTCTCGACAAATTATACCCCTCCCGTTGGTCGGACTATGAACGTTTTGTCTAGGGATTTAGAATACAACTTCATTCCCTAGGTATATAATGTACTATTGGAGAACTAGTAGGTATTTTGATAAGCATGGCCTTCCGGGCCCCTCCTCACCTGACTTTACAATAGCTCAGAAGCGACTCAGTAATATGTCATATTGTCAAGAAATATAGAATACCCGTATGGAGTTTACTTAGATTTTATGAGGCAGAATGTAAAATACAACTTTTTGATTCATCTTCTACAAACTCTGCCATTACTATCAAGCCCTAACCCACAATTCGAGATCTGTTGTTGAACACTCGCTTGTACAGATTATACCAACCGCTTCGTATGAAACCTGATGAAGGCTGTGTTATGTCTATGGTTTGACCGGGCTAATATACGTTCAGTATGAAGTCTGACCATCAGTCTGACCAAGCAGCTGTTTGGGAATATCGGTCACGTTTCAAACCTGCCCACAAAGCTACCACGCTAACTTTTGAGTAGAGTTGAGTCAACCATTGACCAAAGGTGGATATATGTATGGTGAAATAGCTCCCTCTTACAAAACCCTAGAAATTTTTGTAGACCTCTGGCCTACTTGATTATGTCGAATTCTATCACCGTAGTAAGGCCGCGCAAAACTAACGCTAGATGGCGCTGTTCCCGAAGTGATCTTGCTACACAATGGTTGTTTTGATTTGTTGTTTACATTTACGTATATTAATTCGTAATTTGAAAACATTGAGAAGAAGTGATTGATTTAATGAAAAAGACGTGAAATTTTCATTATATCTGTGAAGTATATGTGGCACGATGTTCCCTACGCCATCTACAGTCAATCCGGTGCGGCCTTGCTACGGTGTTTCGCGGTCTACACGTTTTAGAAAGAAACAATTGACAAGTGGTTACACCAGTCTATTTTCATCATGCATTGACCATTCTGGTATCACCACTGTGGTCAAACGAATGACTTGACACAGCCGAAATAAACCTCTGGTGCGCTCACTTTTCATTTGTTTCGTCAGACTGGTTCTTGTTCTTGATGTAAACAATTGACTTTCAGACGATGACGTGGGGTTCACATATTGAATGTAAGATGGCGTGATTCCTACAACTCATGATCAACATCAGTTCTACAATACTTGATGCGGCTAAATCGCGAAATGTATATCCTAGCTCCATTGGTCACAATTTGGTCACAATTGTGACATTGATGCCTGTAATTTTGGTACGGCACCAGACTAATCTTAGCGAGATTCACCCACGCCATTTTATGTTTATCGAAGTAGGCGAAAATCAAGGGATTGTAAAACAGGAAAATATTGAAGTGTGTACACCAGAGGTTTATTTTTTCATCAATCCTTATGGGATACTAAAGGGGATACTTAAAAGGAAGCGCTTTTGAAGACACCATGATGAAGTAAAATGAAGGTGCCATAAAAATGTGAAACATTAATGAGATTGAGATTTGACATCTCTGGTGCCTGGTGGCGTGTATAGTACTGAGGGAAAAATAATTGATGATAGTGTTTGATATTCAATAAGCTAAATTACTCTCTCTATACATAACAATCATGCAAATCATTTTCTCTTGCAACTCACCTCTAAGTCTTTCTGCTTCGATATAGTGTGCTTTCAACCACAACGCTTGCAGTTTCGCATGATTGTGTGGGCTAAAAGTGTGACTTTCTAATATCCTATATAGTTCCTTGAAATTTCCCCTATGAAATGCTACTATCGCCTTGGCTTTGAGAACGGATTCGTTATTGTGTAATTTATCACATGCCGGTAAAGACCACAGAAATCTACCTAGTCGTTCGACGTTGCCTGCCTGTTGTAACACCTGGAAACAAAAACAAAATCAGATAATATTGTTTTTCTCCGATTGGCAGCAAATATTAATTTTGCTGACACATATCAATCAGCAAAGTATTACTTTTCCTGCCTAGGCAGCAAAGTGGGTACTTTGCTGCCTAGGCAGCAAAATGGTTACTTTGCTCATTGATATGTGTCAGCAAAATTAATAATCCATAAATCGTTTATAATTTCCTTTATATTTCATCCGGGACTTCTCCGGCAACAAATTTTGCCACCTTCCTCATTTCTGGAGGAGTAAGTACTTCCAGGTCGCTATCACTGTCCATTATATAATAATTTGAATATACCGATGTTTTTCCGCACAACTGTCAGAAATTTCATGAATTGTCAAACAATAATTATTATGGACATTTCCATAGCAACCAACCATTCCAACAACTGCGATTTCTATCAAATTTTATTTTAATTGAACACTACAGGAAAAATAAAGAGATTGTGAGAATTGTAATAATTTGTAAATACAATATCCTCCTACATCATTATGAACAATCGGAGAAAAAATTATATGTTCAACTCGGCAGCAAAGTAGACTGACTGCCTTAGCTGAAATCCTAGCCTCGCTACGCTCGGCTATGAATTCAGCCTCGGCAGTCAATCTACTACTTTGCTGCCTAGTTAAACAAATTACTATTTTTTCAAAATATACAGATGAGTACAGGGTGTCCCACCTAAATGTGTTAGCCCCCCTTTATATTCGTAATTTCTCAACATATTTTGGCCATTCAAGAACGTTTCATGAATTTCTTGAATTTGTGCTCACTTTTTCTTCATATCAACAAAATACAGGGTGGCTCAATGAAAAAAAAGTTTTTATATATGAAATGGTCTACATTTTTTCCGATCATAATATATCAATGATATAAATTTTTGGATTCAGATTGACGGGCTTCATCGAATTATGGCAAAAAATATGGATTTTATCTGAAGAAAAACCAAAATCTTTGTAATTTCTTGAAATAAAGAAAAAGTAGGTAAGCACTTATTCAAAAAATTCGTAAAAATTATTCCAAAATATGTTGAGGATAACGCGGATACAGGGGGGTGACTCATTTAAGTGGGACACCCTGTACATGACTGAGTTTCATGATTCGATAAATGGAATTCTCGAAAACCTGTAATATTTGCCATTAGGAATAGAGTACCTAAGTCCGAGCCTAAGTCCTAATGGTGTGGTACCTAAATTACCATTTTAACACCCCATCAGAATTTTTTTGAATTTGGTATATACAGGGCGTCCTGGGATCAGCGTGAAATGTTTCAGAAGAGAGTCACAAAAAAGATTAGGAACAAAAATGTTGTCTTTCTCTCTAAAAATCGACCGACTTGATCTCTTGGAACACCACTGAAAATTCTGAATTGGGTTGGTCTAATAATTTTTGAATGAACCTTGTGAATTCCATTGGAATCGGATTATCGGATATAGTGTTCATGAAACTTAATAATGAAAAATCCGCTGGGTTATGGATATATATCTTATTCGATTGAAGTTGATTTCTGAATTCTTAGATTCTCCACGAGTGGTGATGGAGAATAAATTTTTTTTATGTTCTGGTTCCCACGAAAAGGTAGATCCTGTAATGTTCAGAGAACATCGTGAGAACCAACGGAAATAAGGTAGGAATCGGTGTTCTCCTTAAATTTCTGGAGGTTATATGCCTCGGGGAACACCTCCCTTGGCAATGTGTTACAGAGCCTTGCTGTTCGTTGGATGAACGAGTCTATGAAAAGAGATGTTCTGCAGGTCTCCAAAGTGACCACGAAGGGGTGCGAAGCCTCAACACGACGGGTTAATCTCGCGGGGACTACCAAGGGAGGAACAATTGTTGATATTTCAGAAGAGCATTGTCCATGAAAATATCTATGAAATAGAGCCAGATCGACAACTTTTCTACGGTGTTCCAGAGAACTGAGTGAGTTTGTGAGCGAGGCATCACCCACGAGACGAATCGTTCTTTTTTGGACAGAATCCAACAGTTTCAAGGTATGTTTGGGTGCTGCACTTCAAATATGAGAACAGTATTCCATGACAGGTCGGATCTGTGCCTTATAGATCATAAGCAGCTGACTGGAAGTGAAATAGCTCCTGTCTCGAAACAGAAAACCAAATTTTTGGGATGCACATTTAGCAATTGATCTCACGTGATTTTCCAAGAAAGGTTATTGCTGCTAGTAATACCAAATATCGAAAAGGATGTCTTCAAAGGTATGGTTACTCCTGACAAGCTTATGTTGGGCACAGTGAGATCCTAGGGAAAAGGCATGCTTGTGTTTTGTTTGCATTGCCATCTACCAAGTTATTGGATCCCCATTCGAGAATTGTTGCCAAGTCCATATTCATCTTCAACATTTCTCCCTCGTTCGATTCTGATTTGCCTGGCTGGTATTGGAACCCTGGAAGAGAAGGCGGTATGGAGGGTACTATCATCCGCAAAGCTGTGTACTGGACATGAAGTTGCTTCCAGCAAATCGTTGATATGGAGTAGAAATAGTGTTGGTGCTAGAATTGATCCTTGCTGTGAAAAACATCATCCACCAAATATTCAATCCTAGCTAAGTTCCTTTTAGGGAATAAAAAATTGCATTACAGACGTGTCCAATAGATTTGGTATAGAAAAAACACACTTTGCATAGCCAATATCTCAGAGAAATTCACTTCTTACTATACCTACTATAGTTACATGTCGGGAAAAACAAATTTCGAGCAACAATTGAAATACTTATGTTAAAGAATGAGGAAATATAAGTAGGACACTTTATATATCATCATCAATGCTATCATGTTACTGGTAAGGTGCAAACCGAGAATGTCAAATTCATCAATCAATTGCGTTTGTTAATTCCAATGGCCTGTTGGTCCAACGTGTTTTATCTACTTTTTCAATGCTTGTATTGATGATAAGCATTCGAAGCCACGACTGAAAAGTATATTTATTCGATGCTCAACAACATGTATAAACCGAGGTATAAACAAACGGTTTTGAAGAATTGCAGATCTGATCACTGGCAAGAGTCATTTCTGAAAGAATTTATCAGTGCCTTCAACCGAACGGACATTCCAATTATCGATATCATAATAAAAATACTATGGGAGGAGATCTGGCAATAAACGAACATAGATTAACAACACAACAACACCGATACATCAGAGATTCATTTGTTTTTAAATTATAATTATAGAAACCATATACAAAAGCGTCGATGATTAAGTTTCAGGGAATATAGTTATTCATCTACTATGAGTAGGGGAACATTTTTTTTCTTTCTTTTCAAGTTTCTTTTCTCTATTTATGCATCCTATTATTTCATTCATTTCCTTATTTTTGAACAAGAGTTTCTCATCGATATAAGAATTTATTATAAGACGCATATTAGGAACCAAATAGAAGATTAGTATGTAATTTAACTGAAACCCTAATTTCCTACTGTACTTTTTCCACGACTACATTCCATAGAGAAGTATGGTAAATATTAATTCTGGTTTGTTTCATAGCAGAAGCAATTCCCGAAAATATATGTTTCTCACACACAACAAGTGCTATATTAACAGCGTACAGTAGCAGTCGTGGAAAGGAACAAATTGTTTCACTAATGAACATCAAACGTCAAGTATGTAGGTATATATGAATATTTCAGATTCGAAGCAGACATTTTGGAGTGCCAAAATGATAATTGAGCTTGAAAAATACAGGAATTTAGGAGATATGTTTATCAAAATTTTGCCAAATTATCCAGCGTAAATATCATCATCTATCATTTTGAACATGATTTCCTTAATGTGTAGGATTACTTGAATAGATAATGAATGACCAGATTACAAAAATAATATGTAACAAAACAGCTTATAAGAATTGTATCTATAATCTACTGTAGACAAGTTGCTGGTATCGCTTGCTGCTACCGAATGTATACGGGGTCGTTGAGCAAATATCTGGGGTACAGGGCCCCAATTTAAATAATGATACCTGTTTACTTCATTTCAAATTTTATTGTTCCAATGATCGTTTTACCCTGCTAATTATAACGATGTTTTCGCCTTTGGCTTCTCCACAATAATTTCTTTCTGGCTGATGATGGACACCTTTTGGAACCGAAACATGTCCCCCTTCCTTCTTGAATTTAGAATTAAATGTTGTGAAGACGACTTGGAGAGTTTTTATCATATTTCAATTGTATCTATACTGAGGATGATGGAAAGTCCGCAAAATGTATGAGTTTTCGGCAAACAAAAATAAAAAAAAAATTATAAGAAAGTAATCTGTGAGGGATTGGACGATTCAAACAGTAGATAGATGAAAATACTAGCTCACTGAGCTACTGTACTTCGAATGTTATTGTTAGACAGAACGAATTTACATTAGTAGTTGTTTCAGAATCTTATGAATGACCAGATACCACAGTGCCTATGTTCATCCATGGTTTAATAAAACCATGATGATTCAGCTGTTCTGTCATGTAAAAATTTTTTCCAAATCAATCTACATAAAGATGGTGTTATACTCTATAGGGTGTCCGGAGATAAAACCGACAAAACTCATGGGGTTATAGGGACTGTCGATATGATTGTAAAATGCCATAAACGAATGGCCACAACCACTTCGTTACTGAGATACAGAGTGATTTGTGGATTTTGACAAAAAATTCAATCCGCCATATCAAATACAGGGATTAACCGATTAGATTCAAATTTGGTACATGAATTACACTTAAAAGCATCAACGAGTAGCCCTCTGATCGAAACCAATATCAGGACCGGAATAATATTTTCCCCCTATGTTGAGTTATTGTTAGAATAACTCACCCTGTATAATAATAACCAGAAATTTCAACTCAGATTCGAAATCTACGGTGGAAATTGTATAGGAATTTGTTGAAAAATCTCCTGGCACTATCTTAGTTATTCCGTAATTAATTATTATTTTAATTTTTTCCATTAAAAAATCAATTATTTTCGGGTAAAATACCACC